TATATATATATATATATATATATATATATATATATATATATATATAGTATAATATATTTGTATATATATACTATTAAGAAGATTATAATAAATGCATGTGCAGTTACGATAACGTTATAAGTTTGATCTCCAATTAAATAGCCTGGTTGTCCTAATTCTGTTCGGATTAAAATTCTTAGTGATGTACCTACTATTCCAGCTCAAGCTCCAAAAATGAAATATAGAGTTTCAATGTCTTTATGATTAGTAGAAAATAATCATCGTTGCAATAAAGTGGCTGAAGGTGTAATATTTTACTAAGGCCTAAAATAGGAATTTCATTTTCAGCTTTGAAGGCTAATAGTTTAATTAACTTAAGTCCTTAAATTCTGAAAAATATCACAGAATATAAAGGTAGTCTGAATACTGAAATTCTTGTTATTAAAGAATTTAATTTAATGTTATGGAATTTTAGGTTTGATTGATGATTTCATTTTAATTCGTTTATATTAATTAAAAAGGAAGATATTACTAATCGTAAATAGTAAAATAAAGTGATTAATGAACATAGAACCATAATTAATATTCTAAATATTATTTTATTATAACATGAGTTTTGAATAATTATTCATTTGGGCAAAAATCGTAAGAATGGAGGTAGGCCTCCTAGTGATATTAAATTGATTGATGTAAAACCTTTGATTATTGATGAATTTCATGTGAAGGGAATTTGATTATGATGTTGAGATGATATATTATGGAAAATCATCAAAATTTTTGCTGATAAAATAGTATAGATAATGAAGTAAAGTTGTCATAGATCCTCTGATATTATTAATCCTAATAATATTCAACCAATATGATTAATGGATGAGTAAGTTATGAATTTTCGTGTTGATGTTTGATTGAAACCACCAATGGAACCAATAATAAAGGATGAAATTATCACGAAAAATATTATAGGTTGATAATATAAGTAAGATAAAATAATAAATGGAGCTAATTTTTGTCATGTTATTAGAATAAAACAATTTAATCATGATAATCCTTCTATTACAGATGGAAATCATATATGAAAAGGTGATGCACCTATTTTAAAAACAGTGGAATAGAAATAGCTGAATTGATCATATTTTTATTTAAAATAAGCAGAATATTATCTAATATAACGAAAGTCAATAATATAGATGAAGCTATAACTTGAATAATAAAATACTTTATAGCTGCTTCTGTTGATATTATATTGTCTTTTGAAGATATTAATGGGATAAAAGCTAGTAAATTAATTTCTAAACTTATTCATGTGGCTGGTCATGAATTGGATCTAATTGAAACTATTGTACCTAAAATTAATATTATTAAGAATAATGATTTTAAAGGATTAAATGTGGAAATTAAAAAGAAATGGATTATTACCTTTATAAATGGGGTATGAACCTATTAGATTAATTAGCTTATCTTTTTATTGAATTTTGGTGTATGATGCACGAGAAATTTTGAATTTTTAAGTAATAGTTTAATTCTATTAAATTCAATGAAAGTAATATTGAATTACATGATTTATCCTATCAAGATAACCCTTTATTCAGGCATTTCATTAATTATTTAATGTAAGTTTTTAAACTCTTGGCTCAATTTAATTTTATAATAATAGAATATTTAATAGTAATTAATATTAGGAATAAAAAACATCAATCTAATTACGAAAGCACAATATTTTTTTATTATTGTGCTTTCGTGCGGATTGATGTTTTTTTATTCCGTTGTTATATAAGATCCTATATATATATATACAAATATATATATATATATATATATATATATATATATATATAATCTACAGAATATCAGTTATATTAGGTTCATCTATATATATATATATATATATATATATATATACACCACTCAGAACCACTTTAATGTGCATGCATATAGAAGTAAATTTTAGAATACTAATAGTTAAAATGTATATACTAATAGTAAGAATTCTAATAGTTAATATATATATATATATATTAAATAAATGCTTATATATATATATATTAAATAAATGTGTATATATATATAAATATTATACCCCCGTTAAAAACTATGTATTACTAATTGAGACATGATTACTAAATTTTATTTTCCTTTAGTTGCTTAATCATTGATGTATATTTGGAATTTATTAAAGATAATTTTTCCTTTTTTGTAAGAAAAAAAGAAAACATTATTAGTAGTAGTAGTTTACAATAATTTTATTGAAATATGGTATGAAAATAGAATAATCAATTTATTGAATGGCTTTGATCGAATAATTTGGCTGGTTGTTCGAGCTTGATGATTTGTTGGGGGCATGTCCCCCACGATTTTTTGGACCGTACAGTAATTTGGAGATTTAAGTTGAAAATTAAAGTTTAGTTTCTTGAAATATGTTGTTGAATGGAATTTATAAATTATGTTGATTGGTTGATCCGTGAATCATAATATGGAAAATAAAGTTTTATTCTTGCTTTTTTATTTGCGTGGAGAATGATTTACATATATTTAATGTCTAAAAGATATATAGTGTAGTAATTAGTATTATACAATTAAGTTAACTTGGATATAGTATTTCTTATAGTATTGGTTAAATGCGTGCCAGCTGCCGCGGTTAGACGTAAAATACAAGTGAATATTGTTGAATAGAAGTGAATTGTTGGTTCCATAATATTATAATTGTTTTTGGTGAAATGAATAAATTTTATTTTTTTAAGTGATTTAACGAATCTTCGAAATTAATAAGTTTAAACTAGGATTAGATAGCATATTATAAATTATTTAAATAATTAAATCAGGGTAGTAGTAGTTATGATCTTGACACCCAAAGAATTTGGCGATGTTTTAGTCCTTTCAGAGGAATCTGTTCTGTAATTGATAATACACGATTTATGTAACTTGATTTTGTTATCAGTTTACCGCCGTCAGTAAGATTATCTTGTTGAGAGTATAAAATTTCATTATATTTAATATGTATATTATGTCAGGTCAAGATATTATAAGTAATTTATTTGAAGGTGGATTTGATTGTAAATTAGTATAAATTAATTAGTTGATTAGGGCTCTAGAATGTGTACATATCGCCCGTCGCTCTCGTTTTAAGATGAGATAAGTCGTAACATAGTAGATGTACAGGAAGGTGTATCTGGAATGGCAAAGTAGAGCTTGTTAGTTGAGCAATCCATTTACATTGGAGGGGTTTTGTGCAAATCAAATATTTTGATAATATTAATATCATTATTTTTATTTAATAGATGTATTTTTATTGTTTTTTAGTATATATTTCGAAATTAATTGGTTGATTATAGTTGATTTTTACAGTGATGGAGTTATGAAAGAGTTGAAATTGTTATTTTGAGGTAGAAAATATTTGTACCTTTTGTATCAGGGTTTATTAAAAACTGTCAATATATTTTATGTTCTCGAATTAAGAAGAGCTATTTACTTATGATTTATATTGTAGCAAAAATATAGTTGGATAAAATTAAAATAGTAGTGATATGTTATTCGTTTCTTAAGATATCTAGTTTCTAAAGGAAGAAAATTTATTTTTGGTTTTTATTTAATATTTATACAATATATATATATATAGTATATATAATATATATATATTATATATAATATATAATGTAGTGACGATCTGGGAAAGCGAGTACTCTTCACACAAATAAAATGAATAAAGGACGGTACAGTTCTCGTGAATGGGGCTTCCAGGGGTTTTTGACGCTGCATGGGAAGAATAATCGAAGAAACTCTATTGTGCAATTAAAAGTTTAATGATTGAAACACTATGTACAAAAATTCTTTACAATACGCAGTGCAGCAGGCTTTTAGTGATTCAGTGCACAAGTTAACGCTACTGAGGCTTTCGATTGATCACCCGGCTGGCTGGAAGGCGAGGGGCGCCCGTGGCAACGGACGGCGGCCGTGTTCGGCAAACTTCGGCCGCCCGAGTTTGTCGGGAAATCGCTCTCACCTCGGCGGTTCTCACTCCGCGTAGCCCCCAACGCAATGGCCAACGAACTCGCCGGGGTCCACCTCACCAGCCAGTAACAAAGCAATGTCACATATACAACATCAATCATACTGCATCAGCGTCCCGTCGGCAGCTATCCGGATCACAGCAGTTCTTCTCAATCCCACTCGAATGTTGCACGGTGCGGCCGTTGCTGCATCAACCCGGGCGGGACATTTGGAACGCGGTCTGTCGGCACCAAACTCCAGTATTAATGTTTCAACTGATCCCGGTCCTGGGCCGACTCTCCGATTTCTTCTATCACCTGATTAATCATTTTTATCACGTCGAATCTCCCACTTAATGTACAATCAATCGCACACTGTTGGTACAATATCACTATACAAATGCTTGAGAGGCAGCACACAGCCGCGTCCGTGTGCGCTCAGCCTCTCATCTGCTATACTCCCCAACCGTCACACGCCTCGCCGCGTCTACCCCTCGATTGACTGTTGTGCAGCGGCGGCGGCGGCGGTACTACGCTGATCGATTTAGTGCTGCTTTTAATTAGAATTAGTAATCAATTTTGATTGTTACTATGCAGAAACGTTCTTCGTTGTGTATAAATGTACGTTGTGTATAAATGTTGTGTATAAAAATATGTGTATAAATGTATGTTGCTTTGTTAACTTTATTGGAGCGTAAGGTTTTGGGTTATATTCAGATTCGAAAAGGTCCTAATAAGGTGGGTATAATAGGAATTCCTCAAGCTTTTGCTGATGCTATTAAGTTATTTTGTAGGGAACAAACTTATCCTATAATGTCTAATTATTTAATGTATTTTTTGTCCAGTGGTTAGATTATTTTTATCTCTCTTGGTATGATTAATTTATCCTTTGGGGTATGAATTGATTTCTTTTGACTTGGCATTGTTATTTTTTTGTTGTACTAGTATGGGTGTATATTGATGTTGGCTGGTTGATCATCTAATTCTAATTATGCATTATTGGGTGGTTTACGAACTGTAGCTCAAACTATTTCTTATGAAGTTAGTATAGCGTTGATTTTATTAAGATTTATTATTTTGGTAGATGGTTTTGGGATTAATTTATTTTTTGTTCATCAGTTATGTTTGGTTTTTTTGTTAGTATTCCTTTATTTTTTGTTGATTTTCTTCTTGTTTAGCTGAAACTAATCTTACTCCTTTTGATTTGTCTGAAGGTTAGTCTGAGTTGGTGTCGGGTTTTAATGTTGAGTATGGAAGAGGTGGATTTGCATTATTTTTATGGCTGAATATTCAAGAATTTTATTTATGAGAATATTAACTATTTTAATTTTTTGGTGGTGATTTATTTTCTTTATTATTATATTTTATATTGGTTTTTATATCATTCGTTTTTATTTGGATTCGAGGTACTTTACATCGTTTTCGTTATGATAAATTGATATATTTGGCTTGAAGGACTTATTTACCTGTTTCTTTAAATTATTTGATTTTTTGTTGTTTTTCATTTTGAATGAATAATGTGGTTTATTGAGACATTTTAGGAAATTAAAAGTTAATAGAATATAATTCTATATTTTGTTTTCAAAACAAATGCTTTAAGCTTATTAACTTAATTAATAGGTCTCATAATTTAAACATTATGGGATTGATAATGAAGTATATAAAATATCTGATGGTTAAAATTTGTCCTATTAAGATATATGGTTCTTCAACTGGTCGGGCACCAATTCAAGTTAATAAAATGACAATGGATGTATAAGTTCAGAATAGTATTTGATTAATTGGATAGAATTGTATTCTTCGGAATTTATTATTAGATATGAAACGTAAGATAAAAAGAATAGCAATAGATGCAATTGGAGCTATTATTCCTCTAATTTATTGGGAATTGGAATTTATCGTAGAATGGCGTAAGCAAAAAGGAAGTATCATTCTGGTTGAATATGCACTGGTGTAACTAAAGGATTCCCGGGAGTAAAATTATCTGGATCTCCTAATAAATATGGGTTTGTAAGTGATAAAATAGTAAATGATATTAATATAATTAAAAATCCTATGATATCCTTAAAGATGAAATATGGATGGAATGGAATTTTATCTAAGTTTCTATTAATTCCAATTGGATTATTAGATCCTGTTTGGTGAAGGAAGAGTAAATGAATTATTACGAATGCTGCAACAATAAATGGAATTATGAAATGTAATGTGAAAAATCGAGTTAGTGTAGCATTATCAACTGCGAATCCTCCTCATAATCATTGAACTAAATCAGTTCCTAAATAGGGAATTGCTGATAAAAGATTAGTAATTACGATAGCTCCTCAAAATAATATTTGTCCTCATGGTAATACATATCCTATGAAAGCTGCAGCTATAACTAGAAATAGGATTAGAGTTCCTGTTATTCAAGTGAATATTAAATTGTAAGATCCATAATATATTCCACGTCCAACATGAGTATAAAGGCAAATAAAGAAAAATGATGCTCCGTTAGCATGTATTGTTCGTAGAAGTCAACCAAAATTTACATCTCGGCAGATGTGACTTACTCTATTAAATGCTATATCAATGTCAGCGGTGTAGTGTATAGCTAAGAAGATTCCTGTTATGATTTGAATAATTAAGCATAATCTTAGTAGTGATCCGAAGTTTCATCATGTTGAGATGTTAGATGGGGTTGGTAAATCAATTAATGAGCTGTTATTAATTTTTAATAATAGGTGATGTGTTCGTAGGGGTTTATTCATTAGTTATGTGTTTGAGTGTCGTAATGGTCCTTCTTGGAAAGATGTAATTTTTACGATGATAATTAATGTAATTAATAGGTATGTAATTGTAATGATTGCTAAAATGAAATTTGGATAGTTGTATAGTTGTTTTAAATTATTATTTTCTATTGTAATATTAATAATTTTATTTATGAAGGAGCCATTTTTATATATATATATGAAATGATAATATATGATTATATATATAATTTATAATTAGGATAGTAAGAGTAGATATTACGAAATTAATAATTATGGTTTTAGCAGGTAATTGAAATATTACGTTTGATGCTAATCTTGTAATATAGATAAATAATACTAATAAACATCCTAGGAAGATTAAGAATAGAATGTAAGAGAATCAAAATGAGTAGGAGATTGATCCTGTTGTAATACAAATTATTATTGTTTGGATAATAAGTAGGGTAATAGCTAGAGGATGATATATTATAATGAAAAAGGTGTTGATTATTAATATTATTATAGTAAATGTAAGTATAAAAATATCTGAGAATACTTTAATTAAAATACTAGTTTTGAGGATTGGTGATAGATGAATTTATCTTTCTCTGAAGTTTTAAAAGATGTTCTTAATTTTGGTTTACAAGACATATGTTTTATATTAAACTATTAAAACTTAAACTTTGCATTTTTTGTTTATTAGTGGTAATGTTTTGTTATTTTAGTGGTATTTGGATTTATTATTCTAAGCGGAAGCATATGTTAATTATTTTGTTAAGTTTAGAATATATGGTATTATTTACTTTTTTATTAATATTTTAGTTGGGAGAATTTCAAAATGAGTTATATTTTTCAATAATTTATTTGGTATTTGCGGTTTGTGAAGGTTCTGTAGGACTTGGTATTTTAATTCCTATGGTACGTTCTCATGGAAATGATTTCTTTCAGTCTTTTATGGTATTACGATGTTAAAATTTATTATAATATTCTCGTTCATGATTCCTCTTTTTTTAAATGGAATGTTGTGATGAATGGTTCAGTTTATATTTTTTGATAGCTTTTTTATTTATAGTATCTATTAATTTGAGTGGAAATATTGAAGGTTTAAGTTATATATTAGGATATGATTTATTGTCTTATGGCTTAATTTTTTTTAAGATTTTGAATTTGTGGATTAATAATTATAGCTAGAGTTTCTATTTATCAATATAATTATTACAGAAATTTATTTGTTTTTATAATTATTTTTTTAATATTAATATTAATATGTGCTTTTTCGAGAACTGAAATGTAATCTTTTTATATTTTTTGAAGGTAGATTAATTCCTACGCTATTTTTAATTTTAGGATGGGGTTACCAGCCTGAACGTGTTCAGGCTGGTATTTATTTGTTATTTTATACATTTTTAGCTTCTTTACCTTTATTAAATAGTTTATTAAATTTTTATAAGATGAATGGAATTTATATTTATATGGATTTTGGGGTGATGAGGTTAGTAATATATATATATATATATTGCGTTTTTAGTTAAGATACCTATATTTATGGTTCATTTATGGTTACCTAAGGCTCATGTTCAGGCTCCTATTTCTGGTTCTATAGTGTTTGCAGGTGTTTTGTTAAAGTTGGGTGGTTATGGATTAATGCACGTTTTTAGAATTATGGTATTTTGTTGTTTAAAATATAATTTTGTTTGAATTGGTATTAGATTAGTTGGAGGCTTTTTAATAGGGTTGGTATCTTTACGTCAGGTGGATTTGAAATCATTAATTGCTTATTCATCTGTTGTACACATAGGAATAGTTTTAGTTGGTTTAATGACTTTAAATTCTTGAGGTTTTTGTATCGTTATTTAATAATAATTGGACATGTATTATGTTCTTCTGGTTTGGTTTGTTTATCAAATATTGTTTATGAGCGGTTGGGAAGTCGTAGATTAATTATTAATAAGGGATTAATATGTTTAATACCTAGAATAACATTATGATGATTTTTATTAAGATCATCTAATATGGCAGCTCCTCCTTCTTTGAACTTATTAGCGGAAATTAGATTAATTAATAGAATTATATCGTGAAATTGATTAGAAATGTTTTTAATTGCTTTAAATCGTGTTTTGGAGCTGCTTATAGATTATTTTTGTTTTCTTATAGTCAACATGGAATAAATTTTTCTGGTTCATTTAGTTATGTGAATGGATATTTTCGTGAATATTTGTTGTTATTTTTGCATTGATTTTCTTAATTTTATGTGGGGATTATTTTTTTAGTTGTATTTAGCTTTATTAGTTTAATAAGAATGTTGATTTGTGGAAAGGTATATGATAATTACTATATTAGGCTATTAACTATAATAATTTTATTTGTAAATTGTCTTTTGTTGTTTTATTTTCGATATCAATAATAATATTTTTTGGGGTTGGTTGTTTGTATTAATGATTGTGTAATTTTTTTGGATTGGAATATTGTAACTTTAAATTCTTGTAATGTTATTGTAAGAATTCTTTTAGATTATAAATCATTATTATTTATAAGATTTGTAATGTATATTTCTTCTTTAGTAATTTATTATGGAGATAGATATATGATAGGTGATTATAATTTATCTCGTTTTATTATTTTGGTATTAATATTTGTATTATCTATGATGTTTTTAATTATTAGTCCTAATTTAATTAGAATTTTGTTAGGATGGGATGGTTTAGGATAAGTTTCTTATTTTTTAGGAACTTATTATCAGAATGTAAAATCTTATAATGATGGTATGATTATAGCTCTATCTAATCGTATTGGTGATGTGGCATTATTATTATCTATTGCTTGAATAATAGGATATGGTAGTTGAAATTATTTATGGGTAAATAATTTTGGGTAATTTATGGTAAAGTGAGCTGCTAACTTTTCTTTTTAGCGGTTAAATTCCGTTGTTATTTCTAATTTATATAGTTTATAATAAAACGGTATATTTTCATTATACAGAAAATGTTTAAATATTTATAAATAATTAAGGATTAGATAATCTTTCTTTCAGGTCAAAACTGAATGCATAATTGCTTCTTAATTGAGATTAATTGAATAATCAATACTTTTTGAATGCAACCCAAATGTTATATTTAACTATAATCCCTATCCAGCTCATTGTAAAGCACCTTGGTTTCATTCATGATATAATCCTATAAGTGGAATGATAATGAAGAATATTAATGTAAATAACCATTGTAATTGATTTGATGAAACTTGAATAATTACTGTAGGTATAATTAAGGCGATTTCTACGTCGGAAATTAAGAAAATAATTGCGATTAAGAAGAATCGTAGTGAGAATGGTAAGCATGCGGATCTTTTTGGATCAAATCCACATTCAAATGGTGAAATTTTTTCTCGATCTTGTATGGTTTTTTTGGATAAAATTATTGATAATGATATTAAAATGGTTGTGAGAATTAAGGTAAATATAATAATGATTGAGGTAATTAAGATTACTTATTTTGATAGTCAATCCTTTTAATTGGAATTTAAATATACTAAATATACTGAATAAGTTAACTACCTCATCAGTAGATTGTAGATATTGTATGATTATTCCTATATATTTCAAAGTGTTAATATCACGCTGCTGCTGCAAATCCGAAGTGGTGATTAGATGAAATATGAAATATTATGTGTCGTATTAAGCATACTGAAAGAAATGTTGTTCCAATAATAACATGGAGTCCATGGAATCCTGTTGCTATAAAGAATGATGATCCATAAACGGAATCTGCAATGGTAAATGGTGCTTCAATATATTCATATGCTTCAAGAATGGTGAAATAAATTCCTAAAATGGTTGTTAATAGTAGTCCTTGTGTAGTTTGTCTAAAATTATTTTCTATTAGGCTGTGATGAGCTCATGAAACTGTAACTCCTGATGCTAGTAGAATAGCTGTATTTAGAAGGGAAATTCGTATAGAATTAAATGGTGTAATTCCTATAGGTGGTCAAATTATACCTAAGTCGATGTTAGGAGCTAAACGTCTATGAAAAAACACTCAGAAGAATGAAATAAAGAAAAATACTTCTGATACAAGAAATAGAATTATTCCTCAACGTAATCCCAGGTTTACTACAGATGTATGTATACTTTGATATGTTCCTTCTCGTGTAATATCTCGTCATCAATGAATTATAGTTAGTAAGGTGATTAGAGTTCCAATTGAAATAATAGTAAATTTATATTGATGGAATATACAAATTAATACTGCTGCTATTGTTATAGCTTCAATAGCTCCTGTAATGGGTCATGGTCTGGCATTAACTAGATGAAATGGGTGATTTTGATGTGTTAACATTAATTTACTTCTCTTGAATATAATGTAGTTAATACAGCAAATACATATGATTGAATAATAGAAACTGCTAACTCAAGAATTAAATAATAAAATAAAACGTTTCGTCGATCCGTTTAGCATGAATAGTTAAGGAGATAGAGCCATTTGAAGTTGAGGATTATATTCAGAGCGTTGAGAATTTGAAAATACAAGGCTTTCAATTCAAAGTTCCTAGAGGCTACATTTTTCAACCAAATGAGACAAATGATATTTTCTGAAACTATATGAATGTAGAAACGCATCGGTGTTCTTAGAATTGAGATATGTTTCACAGTTTTTTAGATATGCGGGTTTCTATTTAGTGTTAAAAAATGCAAAGTTTCGTCGATCCATTGATCGACAAAATTCTCCATTTTTCGACCTGTCTCGGATTTATCTGATAACCACGCTCCTAGCACGAAATTTAATGGTGAGTTTACTAGTGAAACCCATTTTTCGATTAGAAGCTTAGTTTTTCAGAAAATCGCAAAAGTATCCCTCTAAACGTCAATTTCCTGGAAATATGCGTGTAGACAATTGCCGTTTAAGGTGCGTTATGGTTAAATGCGAAACTCCATTTAAAACTGAAATTTAAGATTAATATACATAAAATGTGGTGTGCATATTTCAACCGTGTAGCTTGAATAATTTAGGAGATAGAGTCATTTGAATTTGAGGATTATATTCAGAGCGTTGAGAATTTGAAAATACAAGGCTTTCAATTCAAGGTTCCTAGAGGCTACATGTTTTAACTAAATGAGACAAATGATGACAATTTCTGAAACTACATGAATGTAGAAACGCATCGGTGTTCTTAGAATTAAGATATGTTTCACAGTTTTTGAGATATGCGGGTTTCTATTTAGTGTTAAAAATGCAAAGATTTTTCGAAAGTTTGGACTAAAGTACAGTCTTTTATTAGAAGCTAATTTTTTAGAAAATCGCTAAATTATTCTCATAAACTAAGTTCCTTTAAAATATCACTGTAGACAATTGTTTTTTAGATTGAGATTTGATTAAATGGGGAACTACATTATTGAAAGTGCGCATTGGGGGCACCTGACACTAAAAATTGTTGTTTGTATCTGTCCGCTTTTTGTCCACGATCAACATTAGCGCCTAAACTATTCTTAGGATTGGTTTCCAAAATAATGTGGTTAGATTAATTGATTTGTTAGTTATTCGGGGCTTGTCAACACGTGAGGTTGTTTGTCTTGTCAGTGTTGTGCATGTTTTTTTCGCTGGAAAAGTCTGTGATTTTTTCCTGCTGGGAGAAAAGTTTCGGTGCCGATATACGTCCGCTACAGGGATTTTTCCCAACCAGGTATATCCTACCAACATGACTAGTCCCTAGCTGCGATAAGCTTTAAGCTCCCGGTTTTTTCTCTACTAGTTTTGTATTATAGTAATGTGTGTGTGTACGCAAGGGGTGAGGATAGGACAAGGAGGAGGAAGGAAAGATCGCGCGCTGTCCGTGATTAGTTTTCTACGGTACCGCTTCGACATTCGCCTGATGTTGATCGGAGAAACCATGGAAAACTACCTATCAGAGCAACCGAGCGCTATAATTCTCCTCCAACGGCAAATATTTCTTATGTGTATAATTTTCTGTTATCCCTCGAAGTCCTATAGAAGGCAAGATTTTTTTTCAAACTTGTTCTCCAAATTTAGTTCTTTAATGAAGTCTTATACTTCGGTTTGAAAATTTTTGTAGTTTTAGCCGAATGATCAATTTTATAAACAAGACTTTTTGAAAAATCTCCCAATTTATACTTTAGATTGAATAACATGACATCAACATTATTTAGATGTTAACTTACACTTTTAACATATTACACTCAAAAAATACCCCTCATGTTAACAAGAGATTACCAAAGAGATTGAGAGATTTTTTATAGTTCATCGCATATGTGACTACCAGTGATCCAAATGTTTTCTTATGAAGTTTCTCGAGAACTTTTTTTTTTCGTGAGCTCAAAATTGCTAATTGCTTTCAGAAAAACCCAAATGATATTTCCTAATAAGCGGTACCAAATTTTTTACTGCTCACTAAAAGTCCTGTAAACAGACCGATGTTTAACTCTTCAAGGGTATGGTTTTCTTCTACAAATAAAATACAGAAAAATTAAGAAAATGTGAAAAATTGTTCGTGGATCTTTGATTGCAAGAACACCCGAAAAGCCTTTTTTACACGATCATTTCTTTTCATCATTTTTCGCAGGTACTGAACAGATACAGACCAGACTGGATGTAATTTGTAAGAAAAAATGAGGCATGCTTAATTTTTCTGTACAGTTTCATCCAATTCGACTACCGCGCTCCTGGCAGCACATATGGGACTTTCTCTGGTTTGTTCTCTGGCGTGGGGAGCTATATGTTAATTTTTTAGTTGGGTGAGAGCGCTCTGATGTGTTGAATAGTTATGTAAAGTGGTTATGTAGTAAGAAATAAATTATGTACTGCATTAATTAATTTTATTAATTATGTTCTAATATTGTCGCATCCGTGTTCGGTCCTTGCTCTAACTTTATTTCTTACCACAAATACAAAGTTCGAATGTTTGCGTACGTGCTTGCGTCAGTCCGTTCGTTCGTTCATACGTACGTTCATCCGATCGTCCGTCCGTGCGACCGTTCGTCTGTCCGTCCGTCCGTACGTTCGTCCGTCCGTGCATGCGTGTGTCCGTCCGTCCGTCCATTCGGTCGGTCGTTCATACGTCCTTTCGTCCATCCGTCTGTCCGTTCGTTCATTCGTTTGTTCGTACGTTCGTTTGTTCGTTCGTTCGTTCGTTTGTTCGTTCGTTCGTTTGTTCGTTCGTTCGTTCGTCCGTCCTAGCTTGCGTCTGTCCGGTTGTTCGTTCGTTCGTTCGATCGTTCATTCGTTCGTTCCTCCGTTCGTCCGTGCGTCCGTCCGATTGTTCGACCGTTCGTTCTTTCGTCCGTCCGTCTGTCCGGTCGTTCGTTCATTCGTTTGTTCGTTCCTATATACGTCCGTCCGTCCGTGCGTCATTCAGTCCGGCCGGCCGGTCGTTCATTTGTTCGTTTCTTCGCCCGTCCGTTCGTCCATCCGTCAGTCAGTCTGTCAGGTCGTTCGTTCTTGCGTTTGTTTGTTTGTGCGTGCGTGCGTCCGACCTTCCGTCCGTGCGTGCGTGTGTGCGTCCGTCCGGTCGTTCGTCCGGTCATCTGTCTGCCAGTCCGTCTGTCCGTTCGTTCGTTTCTTCGTTCGTTCGTTCTTTCGTTCGTCTGTTCATCCGTCCGTTTCATCCTTCGTTGTCCGTTCGTCTTTCCGTTCGTTCGTTCATCCGTTGTCCGTCTGACTGTGCGCGCGTGCGTCCCTCCGTCCGTCCGGTCGTTTGAACTTCAGAGCTATACCGGAGGAAGTATTTACTTCATGATTTTGTGTGTCTGAAAACGACAAAACGACTGGCAGCAAAACGTCGTTCGTTCGTTCGTCCGTTCGTCCATGCGTCCGTTAG